CTAATAGAAAATTATTTTATTTAAGTTTATTATGTTGTTTTTTTTTTTAATGAGAGAAATAATATTTACTGGTGTATTTCGTTTCGATACACTACTATTATATCGATCATCAACTGAATGATCTGATGTTCGATCATTAGAGTCAACAAGTGAATCATCACTAAAATAATAATAATAATAATAAATAAAATGAAGAATACTTTGATATATTTAATTACGTAAAACGTCGTTTTGCTGAAGGTGATTTTTCATTATCATGTATTGTTGATCCATCAGCTAAAACAGAGAAATTTTAAAATAAGAAAACAAAAAAAAAAGAAAAGAAAATTTCTCATTTATAAGCACTTTTTTATATTTGAGCATTAGGTCGTTAATAATTACTTACAATTATTTGGAGTAATGTATACTAGAGGCAATTGACGAGCGAGGGTACTAATGCCTGTTTAAAAAGATAATGATCATGGATAGTTTTGCAATAGCTCAAGAACGAAAAGACCGACAGAGGTGCGATTTTCACCAAGCGAAAGAGGAGGCATCTAGACGTCTTTTTCTCCAGTATTATATATGATGAAATCATTTTACACAAATTAATTATTTCTACAAAACATCGAAAAAATGTACAAAAGTGATCTGTCGTTCAAATCAATATTTGACAGAAAGTAAGAATATTTACTTAAAAATTACGAGAAATCCATATTTTTCGAGGGACTAAATAGACGATTTTATTGGCTTAACATTAGAATGTATGAAAATAATCATTCAAATTATATCTTAAACTATAAATCTGAAGTTCCTCTATCTAAATCATATATCAAAACCAAAATTTCATTGGAATGACAGACCGTTTTCATTCATTTTCTCCAATGTTTTGCAGAAATGTTTAATTTTAACATCATTCCGTCTTATATAATATTGGAGAAAAAAATATCCCAATGTCTTCTCTTTGGACTAGTGAAAATCATACCTCTGTAGTTCTTTCCGTTCTGGAGTTATTGCAAAAATACCCACAGCCATTATTTATTTCAACAGGCATTAGTTAGGTTATTTCAATTTTCTCTTTATATTCCTCGTTCATTTATATATATATATATATATATATGTTTATAATCAATGCTTACCTGGAATGTTTGCATCGTTTTTTCGACTTAATTTATCACTGTCATAAACATGTTCATCTAATAATTAGAAAGTATTATGATTAAAACAAATATAAACTTAAAATTTTTTAAAATGATTTATATTAATTAAAACAAAAAAAAGAATTTAATATCTAATGAATATATAAGAATATATTTTAGGCAAAATTAGATTTCGACTAGTGATAAAATCATACAATTACATGTTTTACTAAAAGTAGAGTGAAATGAAAAAAAGAATAATCGAGAGAATACTTTAATAATAATGATCGTGTCACTTGCAATTATAAAGACAATTGAACTAGAGAACAATGTTTGTGTAGAAAAGAAATGGAAGTTTTTTTATTCAACAAAATTTCATTTAACATGAGATCGTTGATGGATAGATCAGAATGTTTTGTTTTGTATATTGTTTAGTGAAATGAAAATATATTGTTGAATACAATGAAATAGTTATTCTATTCCGATTTTAATTAGTTTTTATTGTATGAATTTATGTCGAATTTTGTCTAGGCAAAATTAAAACACCAGTTCTGGTTAATGATTGTCTAGTCAATTTTAGAATTCTAATATAATAAATAGATTAAACAGTATGGAGTAAATAATCTACATAGATTTTTTCATGCCATGAAGAGAACAAATCTGATAAAATGAGTTATAATTAATCCTTTTTTTTTCATTTTTAACTTAGTGAGAACGGAATTCTTTTCTTTTAACCGAAAATTGATTCTTCAATTATTTTGTTTTATTTGACTGAAAATAACTACATAAAGATTTTATGATAATAAAAAAGACAATTTTTCTCATCTTTTAAATATCAGAAACTCCAATTTCACCTATATTATCTATTAATTCATTAAAATCTAAATTGAAGTCACTCTCGTTCTTATCATCACTATTATATGAATTATAGGACTCGCCATTGACTTCATTATTGCCATATCATTCCATTCATTTAGTTTTTATTAAAAATAGAACCTGAAGAAATGCAGAGTACAAATAGGTTTATTTTCGTCTGAATGAAAAGGTGAAAAAAGCTTGTTTATCAAAATCAAGAACAACGATTATTCGTCAATGAGAATAAGAACATATGTATATATATCGAAGTGTAATAAAGAGTGAGAATATTCTTGAAAGACAATAAATCAGGAGAAAAGAGAGGAATCATAATATTACGGATACAATAGCAGAAAGAATAGAAAAAACTTGAAAACAATTTACAGTAAAACTTCTCTGATATGAACACTATTGGAACTGTCCACAAGAACTCATGTAGCAGAAATTCTCGTTATTGAGATCTTTTCACTTTCTTTTTGCAGCTTAAAATTAGTCAGCTACTATCGCTTTTCGATTGTTCACGGTGATCTTTTTCTTCTTTCCAACAATTTATTAATTCAGATATTTTAATCATTAGTAAATCAACATCTATTGCTATGATTTGGGTATACTAGCTGTGAACATAAAAACGATGATGCGTTATGCCAAGCACTGTTTCTATTGTCTCATATTATTTATTTTCCTTCTAAATATGCACGTTTAGTTCATTTCATTCTTATCTGTGTCCCATGATTATTCTTCATAAAACAATACACATGATATCATTTTCTCTTTCTTTGTGTATGTGACTGATAGAATAAATATTACTTACATTATAGAGGTTTTTATTGCTTAGGGCATCAGAGATAAGCACACTTACTGCTCAGAATAAGGAGGTGATCACATTAGAGAAGTTCTATTATATGTGAGAAGAAGAAAAGAAAGATGAATGTATGAGATGATCAATGGATTCATTTATGATCTATATAACATTGTAGATCTAACAATTTAATTTAAACAAAATACTTTTCTCTACTAAAAAACAGATTGGACAACGTATATCTCACTGTCCTGAAAGGGTTAACCTGTGATTAAACGTGAAAATATAATATGAAAAGATGCTAAAACGTATCAAATAAATGATTAATAATTTATAAAAAGTTTGAATAAAAAATATGTCACGCAGACTAATCCTTAGTGTTTCGAAAGGTAGATTTTTAATAAATTCTTGTTTTTCATATGCTACCTTACAACAAATATATCACGATTTTTAACAGAGTATATAATTCCATTTTCAACAAAAAAGGATATCTATTTGTATACGATAAGATATGAATATCTTGTAAATTCTATGGCTTTTACTATATCTAATGAACTTACGACTTGAATCAATATAAAATTGAGAATTTCCAATTTCATTTGTTCCGACACTTGACACAGATGAATGAGCAGGTTCAAATGTATTACTATATTGATTTTGTATTGATACATTTTGATTATTATTTATTGGTCCACTTGTAAATGTTGTTGTTATTGTTGATGGTGATTGTGATGATGATGATGATGGTTGTGGTAATGATGATACTAATGTTGTTGATGAATTTGGATTATGATGATGACTATCCGATTCTGGATAATGAAATGGTATTGTTTGTTCATTTGTATTTGGTGTTGAAACAGTTATTGGTTGATCTGTCGTAGTTGTTGAACGATGTTTTAAACTACCACCAGTAACTTTTGCTGCTGTACTTTTTATATTAGTAAATAGATCTTTTGATAATGTATAATTATGTGGTATATCACCGGCTTGTATACGTGAAATATCTGTATGATAATTAGCAATTTTTTTTTCTAATTCTTTTTTTGTATCTTGTAATGTTCGTATACGTTTATCAAATGTAGCATTTGTTGTTCGAGAAGAAGTTATTTCATTATTTGTATTTGGTATTGTTGTAACACGAAGAAAATCTGATATTTCTTGTTCAACACTTTGTTGAGCTTTTAAATATAAACGTTGTGCTTTTTCTAATTTTGCTTCAACTTTAGCTAATGCTGCTTGTTTTTTACGTTCATGTGGATCCAAATCAGATGTTGATAAATTTTTTTTACGTAATAATGCTGATGCTGAAGAACTATTTATATTATAGTCACCATCTTTACCACTTGTATTTAACTATTAAAAAAAGAAATAAAATAAACATATAAATCAAGATATTTATTTAATTAGAATAAAAAAATAGAATTTACATTGTCTGATATATTTAATGCTTGTTGATCTAATAGACGAAAACTTTCTATTTTTGATCGACCAGATTGATGACCAGGTAATGAATTTGAATTTCCAGCACCAGGTGTTGTTACGACTGAACTAGATTTTGAATTTGTAGATCGTGCAACACCAGGTAGAGTATTAGTTTTATTAGCTGGTACTCCTGAATGAAGAAGATCCAAACATATCGATGGACTACCAATAGTTGTAGTAGTTTGTGTTTCTAATATAGGATTTGTCACTTGACGTCGATATCGTCTAGATTAAAATAAAAGTAAAAGATTCATTTCATGAATATAATTTTATCTTATGTACCTTTTTCGAGATACACACCAAAACTGACTCATTACTAGATTCTATATATATATTTTAAGGCGCTCTATTTTGTTTATCGTGATTATTATTATTGCTCGTACGTAAATATGTATTGTCTTTTATTTTATTTCACTTCCTTACGTTATGTTTGCAATATTTAGGGCCTCGTTTTCATTCATAATTGAGTGTGATAAGCAATGCGGAACGGCAATTTTCAGCTGATTTTGGACATACCTGAATGCTAGCGTACCTGTTGAAAAGCGTCTAGAAGGCATAGATTTCGTTTTTTTTCTTTTTGAACTTATATTGTCAAATTACTTTTTTATATTCTTACAATTATATATATATTGCGTATGTAATCGTATTTGAATCGCCATGGCATTTTTTTACTTTTTTTCTTTTTCTTCCAGACTTAACGGCCTTCTACTATTTTTTTTTTCTCTATTGATTTATTTTGACGAATGGCTCGTATCGTACAACATGAAAAAGAAAACATACAAATTAACGAGGTAAAAGACAGTCGATGTTAAAAAATCGATACCGATAACAAGAAGGAAAAAAAAGGAATGGGATATAAATGAGATTGACAATAAACGATAGAAACGATCGTAATCGCAGATAAAAAGTAGGTAAAAGCATGTTTTTTTTTAAAAATAGATTAGACGAATCTAAACACGATATTAACTTCATTACAATTTAGGTAATATCGAAACATCCTCAGCGTTCTCGATGATTGAAGATATATAAATATAAACTGTGAATGAAATAATAGAGTTCAGTGTTATAGAATTGAACCTTAAGTGTATAAAGTCATTTTTTTGCCGAGAGAATAACTATTATTGTTTACTTCATATAGTGCAATGAGCGAAGAAATCAATTAGAGATTTATTTAAGGTTGAATAAAAGATTGACCTTTTCAATATATTTATGAGATATGATTATTAGTGATAAAGAAATTGCGAATAAAAATCTAGAGCTTATATTTCTATTTGTATTTGTTTTTTATTAATTTTTAATCATAACTATTCTTGTTCAAATTTCTATTGATTAATTTTTTATGAAGTCATGATAAGAAAAAAAAATATCTATTGAAATGAATTATATATGTAAAAAAAACAATCTCAAATTGAGAAAAATTTTATTTACTTAGCAATAAAATCCTTTATTTTAAAGCTTCTTCTATATTTATCAATCAAATCTTTTAACATAGTTCCACCGGACAAAGATTGCATATTCGAAATCTTATTTTTACCATTCCGTATGATCAAAATTTATTCTTAAAATAGGACTATTCTTTAATTAGAATATCTAAATTAAATGAAATTATCTTCTTCTCAAAATATTGACAATTAACTAACGTTCCAGATGAATCCTCTTTTGTGTATTTGAATCTAAACTAAAACAAATATATGAATTAATCGTATTGATCTCATATTATCTTTTAAAAGTGTCATCAAAAAAAAAAAAGAAAATAGATCTTCTACAATAATTTTTCTTTAATTTAGAATATAATGAATACATTACCTTTTTTCACGATTTTCATCCTTTGAACTACCAGTACTATTAGTTTGTCTAAGTGTGTTTTCGATATCATTCATAGTTATTTAACATATATCTGAAAGAAAAAATAATAATAATAATATATATTATATGTCTAAGTTATCGTCTTATCTATTGTCTTTTCTCAAAAAAAGCAACATCTACTATTTTTAGTTACAAACTTTCAGTATTTGTACGTCAAACAAGAGATTCGTATGTTCTTGTCAATAATTATACTAATGGTGTATCAATAATGCTATGTAATAAATAACACCGCAGGTTGTTATAGAAAAATATTTCTCACATAAAAAAAACCAAGGTGAGCATATGACGTTCGATGGAAAGTGAATAAATAAAATGACGAAAAACATGAATATCATAAATATGAGGAAGAAAAAGTCTAAGATAACATTTTTTTTTCTCTATTTTATCATATAAAATACTTTAATACATTCATTTGATGCATATTCTTGAAATAATTATGGCAAGAAAAAGATGTAGTTATTCTCCTACGCATTCAAATCATAATGTACGCATATCTACATATCTGTTGTATATATAATAAGCTATAAAGAAAAAAAATTGCATTGATACTGTCATGCACTAGTAATAAAAAAGCACGAGGCGAGATGACAGAAAAGAAAGAAAAAAAAGGAAGAGTTTTGTTTTTTTGTATTATCTTTTTTTCGGCGTATTATTTTTTTTTCATTGCTATTAATATTGCTTACATATAAATATGTTTTTTTTCTTTGTTTAATCGACATTGATCAATCATCTAAACAATAGAAACATTCCGAAAAACAAAATTCCTTATTTTTCTTATCATTAATACAAGAGTAATTTTGTTTATTTAATAAAGTATTTGTTTGATAATAAATATCTCTTTCATACAAATAATGATTTTCTGCTTTAATCTTTTCTATCAATAATGCACAGATCAAGAAGTAAAAAAAATGGTAGAATTTGCTCTTCATCATTATTGTTTTATGACATTAAATGATGTTCTTGATTTTATTGTATTGATATTACTTAAATAACAAACGGCGTCAGCAGGTTAACAAACTTCTATTTTATTCGTATCATGTAATGAAGAAACAGCAGGAGATAATGTGAATTTTTCACTATTAAGCCATGATGGAGATCTATTAAAAATAAAAGAATTCGATAACGAAGACATTGCTAATGATTGAAAGGATTCATAAAGTTAAAAATGATAAATGTAATGAATTTGTTAAAAGAATTTATTGTTTTTTTTTTAATTAATAAAAATTCAATATTCTCACAACATTCCATATTAATATTGAATCTAACAATATTTTTTTTCTAATGTTTCAATAAGATAATAATCATTTCATTGTTGATAATCTGTCTTATTTAAACATAACATTTAACAAAAAAAAAGTAATCAAATAAATTCTATATATGATTCATCTCGATATAATGTATAAGTAATTTCATCATACATAGATTATCATAACATGTACCCAAACACTATAATCTTGAAAAAAAAACAAAAGAATCATAATCGCATCGATTGAATAAAAAACATCATTATCATATAATTCTAATGGTAAAAAATTTTGTTGGATCAATAAATTTATTTAAATATGGTTTAGTAAAACATATCTGTATAAAACAAATTGATTTGTTTTATACAATAGACCATACCGACAATGAATACACGCATGATTAACATTAAATATATTGTACCTATGAGAACATAAACTCCATGGTCATATAATAATTTAAATAGATTAATTATTAATGATTAACATTCGATGGAATGATGAAAATTACTTATCGCTATTGTAAAATTTATTATAATACATTTGATTTTTTGTTTCTTCGTTTCGGATAATCAATCAGCAGATGCTAATATAGATATAAAAAAAAACTATAACGTTCTGTGACTTTCTATTGATCCATATTCATGCACTAAGAAACAAGATTTATATACTGACATCTATTAGAAAATTTTTATTATGTAATTATAAAAGTTAATCTTTATAAAATAAATTTCAAAAGTCTTAATCCTAATTCAATAAGTTTTTAATTTCATATCATATAAATCTTTATCATAAGATTATAGATCTAAACCCATAGTAATAACATCCTTAATGGCTTTTAAATAGTTAAGAGACGAAATTCATTGATATCTTCTATATATTTGTTTTTATTAAACATGCTTTTATCTCAACAATCACATCAATGGTCGAATCAATCAAATTCATCTTTTACAAATAATTATGATCGTCAACAAAAATCCGATAATCGAATAAATAATTCACAAGGTATATAAAGTAAATTTCTAAGAAACTTCACATAATTCTATCCTTGATTTTTCAGGACGACCACTTTTAACAGGTCCTATTCCAGCAACACCAGACTATGAATATGATACTCGTGCTACCAGGTAAGTAAAATTCACTTAAAACTATAAGATATATATATATATATATGAGTTGTAACCAGTTCGATCATCACCGATTGAAAAATATTTTGTAGATATGCCATTTTTCTCTGATAAAACTTGTTGAGAGTAAGTTTGCTTGTTCTGATCAAAATAATCAAACAGTACAATCAGTTGATTGGTAATATAATCTTTTTTTTTTCGCGCTATTTATTGACATATCACATATGCATTTTTGAGAAATCTAACAGATATAAACGGCTATAGAATTATGAAGATTTGTAAAGACTCAATGCAAACAAGGAAAATGATTTTTTTTTTCGAAGCCACTCCTATTAATCGATTAAGAATAATTCGACAAACTAGTGGGATCGAACTAGTTCAAAAATTCTCAATCGATTATAACTCTGATATGTACATATATTTCTCTAGTGCACCATGTAGTTCTCGTGGTATTGCTCGAGTTCATGGTTCTGATGCGAAAGCAATTCATAAACGAGCAACAAATGGTACTGGTGTTCCATTTTTATTTGAAGTTCAAGGAACAGGTCTTTCATCAATACATGGAACAGCAGCAAGTATGAATTTTGATTTTATTTTTAATGAAAACAAATATTTTTCTTTTCAAATATAGAACCACCTATAAATCATTTAAATGAAAATGTCAAACGAATTCGACATGTAATGCGAGAATCACGACAAAGACAAATAACGAAAGAACAAAATAAACCAATACCTGTTAAAGCACTTTGGCATTCTAAACAATATGATCATGTGCAATCGAAAGTTAAACAAAGATTAGACGAAGTAATATAATAATTGTTTTCTAACATTGATCATTAACTACAGTACTTAAATTTATTTCGTTCAAATTTTTATTTCGAAAAACAATAATATTTTTTTGTGATATTAAAAGATTGTCTTTAGAAGTATTGATAAAGATTACTAACGTAATTCTTTAGTATTTGGTCAAAAACAAAAAAGAAATAACAAGTGACGAGATTAACACAACATGACTCGAGAACAGATAAATTATTAATCCTGACCTTTTTCTTCGTTAGACGTCAGTTAAATCCTGGATTTCATTTACATAAATTACAGACGTGATCTTTTTTAATTCGTTCCAAATTCATAATTAAACAAACCGTACTGTTTACTTGATAATGATTAATGGATCAATAAAATATTGTTTATTTCTTATACATAACTAATCTATCCTTGATATTTTATAGGAAACTCATCGTTCAGTATCTCGACCTCAATCAGCTCGAGGAAATTTTCTTCATGCACATGAAAATACGGGACCACAATATCTTCGATCACAATCTGTATCTAGTTCACGTCGAGGCTCAATAGCTTCATCTATTGATTTAGTATAATTAAAAATTCAACAACAAAAAAAAAACAAACTAGACGAATTTCTTTTGTTTTTGATTATTTTCATAGGGTACAACACAATTAGATGATAGATCAAAACCTGATTATGTAAAAATAAATTCACAATATGTAAAAAATATTCCGAAAGTACGTAAAACAATGAGTGAAGAAATTGTTGAACAAGCACGAGCAAAAAAAGAACAACAATTAAACAATTATTATGAAAAACAAAAAGGACGTGTACCTGATTAGTAAATTTTTGTTCATATAAAAACAAATTAATTTTCTTTTAAAATTAATGTTTTCTTTTTTTTTTTATTTTTTAGTATTGAAAAAATTAGAGAACAACGAACACAAGAAATAAATGATGAACGTGCTAATGCACCCGATCCAGATTGTCCTCTTGGTCATGTCAAAATTGATAATGATAAACGTTTGTCAACATTACGACAACTTCAACTAAGTAATGAATAAATAAATATAAATTGATTGATTTTTTTTTTCTTTTTATTAGATCGAATTGAACTTGAAAAAAAGCTTAGTCATTTACCTATTCGTAATGATTCATTAACACTTCGACGAACAAAAGAAGAAATTGAAAAGAAAATTATTGAATTAGATGAAGCTATTAAAATTTTTTCTAAACCAAAAGTATTTGCTAAACTTGAAGAATGAATATCTATGAGAACTGTAGATTTTTTTCTTTTTTTTTTTGTTATTTTTCTATAATTTGTGTATGGATAATAAAGTATTTGCAGTACTATTCGATTACCATGTATAAACAAAGAAATCGTCTTTATCAAAAAAAATTTATTATTCAAGTTGGATACATCATAGATTTCTATGCAAACTTTTGATTAGCATACTGTCTCAGTAGACGTTTTAAAAGACTTTGATAAATCGAAATATTTTCTATCTGTCTAGAAATGTCTCTTTGTAAAGCATAGAGATAAATTGAAAGATTCTTTCCATTACAAAAAATATATTCTTATTAATTATCTCAAGTTTGTTGTATTATAAAATTATTATTGGAAAATCACGATATTCGTAAACTAAATGAATAAGTTTCGATATGAGAAGGTATTTTCTTTGTCGATTTCGTTTATTTTTATATGATTCGATATAGTACTATGATTTTCTTATTGTATTTTAAAACCTAGGATAAATAACAACAGTTTACATTGTAATAATATTTATTGATATCATTGAGGCATTATTTATCGAACAATGTAACCAAATAGACTTCTACATATACATCTTTGTCATGTGGAATTCATATAGCTTGTAGATGAATATGAACTTTTCTATAATTTTTATTCATCGTTTGATTTATGGATATTTATCAATGATTCTAACAGTTATTATTTTATAATCTAAAATTTCGTTAATTTTTGTCTGTCTATGTCGAATTGCAGAAAGAAAATCAATTTTAAATCTGTCATATGCTTTACAAAAATGTTAGATTAATGTTGACAACATTAGAATAATATAATGACATAAAGCATTTTATCAATTCTATTATAATTCAATTGATGATTAAATAAGAATTTTAGATAAATTGATTTGTACATAGAATACTACTTAATTAATATTGAAGATGTTCTATGGACGCTACAATAAATAATACATAGTTATGGTCCCATATTGAAATATGTATATTACTTCATATATATATACATATTTATTTATTTGAAGTACGAAGACGCGCTTGTTTAGGCGGAAACAGGAAATTAGAAACGACGACTAGCTTCTTCGCTTGTAGAGTAAACGCGTTAATTCATTCATCAACTCGATTCTTGTCCATTATCATTGTACGACGATAGCGATGTTAGCGCAACGACATTCTCTGTCGCTCTCTTTTTCTTTTTTTTTCTTTTTTTTTTTTTGCCTTCTATGTGTGAATGTCTTCCGGTCTTCGTTCATGTTCAATACTTTTTTCTCCTCCTTTCTCACTATATAATAGTAGCATATCAACGTGGTAAAGACAACGAGGTTCTCAGTTTTTTTTTTCTCTCATTACTATCTCTCTCTCTCTCTCTCGTTCTCTGATTGTGTTACTTAAATAAAATATCGTTGTCCGTCTATATATATGAACCATCCATCATCGCTGTAAACTTTGACGTTTACCGATCTAAATTTGAATGTCTAGTAGATAAGAGAACAATAACTGACTGATGATAGTAAGTATGTATGTATGAAAGAAAGTATTGTTCGATTCACATATGCCTACATCACCTGTCAAATTATATAGACGGTAAAAAGAAAATGTAAGTAATAGAAAGTGAAATCTCACACTTTTACCGCCTCTCATGTGTCTGTCTAGGTATGTCGTAACAGAATGAAAGATATTTCATTAGTGTATACACTCTTGAATACCTTCATGTATATTAGGAAAATGATTAAAAAACTTAGCCAAGCACAACGAGAATCCATAAAAAATAAATGATGTCTATTTCATTTTGATTGAATATATCAATTTAAAAAAAATGACCTTCTTTTTTTTTCTTTTATTAGATCATTTATCTAAAATCATGGTTTATATACGATTTCATTTACCTGTATTGTTATCTTCTTATTCGATTGTTACACGTAATGTAAATTATAATCTTATTCGATTATATTCTATTTATCTTATGTTTTGTTCTCAAATAATTTTATCATCATGTTCAAAATTTGACGATAAAGCATTAACTATTGCTAAATCGATCGATGATTATACTTGTCAAAATTATGTATTTACTTGTTTTTTTCGTCAACGACATCATACATCATATAATAATCAACAACAACAACATGATAATTGTAAATTTCTTTTAATTTTACATTCATGTCTTTATTATGATACCGATACAATACGCAGATGTCATCAATCAAAACTCAATCCTGCTAAAATAAATCTTCGTGATGAAGCACCAAAACATTGTTTTACATCATCTGTATATAAAAATTTTTATGTTCAACATCTGCGTTCGATTTCACCAGCAAGAACTACTGTCAAGTGCCAAATATTCATACTTCTTTTCTTACTTATCTCATGTGTCATTAAGATAAAAGTGTGTTGTTGACATTACTTTTCTGTGAATGTAAAAGACATGTGCCATCGCTTTATTAAAAATTTTTAAGATGAAGCACATAGAAAAAAGAAAAGAAAAGACAATTTCATTTTCTCAGGTGACAAACACATGAATACTTTGTTCATTTACGTATTTTATACAATGATAATACAATGAAAGTATTGCCTGCTGTGAGAATTAGAACAGGCAACTAGACTACATTCCGAAAATTGATTGCTAATGCATTTCGTGCATGTTCTTCCTTCTTCATCCGTTGATCAAGTTACAACAACAATGCCATAGGGGTAGAACGAGATTGTGTTAAACAAGCATTTTTTTTTCTTTCTTTTTTTCTTTTTTCCCTTCCATTAATGCATATATTACATCTATTAAGTTCATCTTTAACGATGAGAATCTCTAGTGACATATCGCATCAACATTTTTCTTCGATTACTGATCGAAATGCGTACATCATCGATCGGTTGAACCATTATATTATATTTTATTTTAACATAAGTCAAAAAAAAGAAATAGAAAGGTCATATAGCATTTGTACTTTAGGGAATAAATTGCACGCTCTAGAGTTTAATCAACGTTTGTATCAACTGATTTTCATGTCATTCATAGTTTTTGTTCATCAAAAGAAAAAAAAAAGAGGAAATCACGACAATCATATTGAAAGAAGAAAGAACAAAATGGGAATAGGAAATTACTGGTATGTAATTATTCAAGTGATAAAATAAATAGACCAATAATATTGAAGAAGTTTATTTTGTTATGTTTCAAGTAGTTTTAATGCTTGTTTTCCATCAACTTCTTCCATTTCTTTCAAAAGTAGTGCTGTATTATAACGTAATTCATTGAATTTTTTTATTGGAACCTTACAAAGAGAAAATTAACTTATTTAATTAAAAAACGAACAATGAAAATATTCAATTTTTATTTTACTTCAAATGTTAAACATCGATTATCAGTTGTATGAAATTGAAAGAAAAGTAATGGTTCAATACAACGTGATAAAGATCTAAAAGCAAATAATAGATAAAAAAAGAAAAAAAAAAAGAACAATCTAATCTCGATTTATACGCTGTAGTTAGTGTAACATCAAGATTCCAATCAAATGATTGAAGAAATGGAAGACGAGGACGATCACGTTCTTGAATAATATTATATAATTGATCACGTCTATTAAATGAAATAATAACAAATAAAAGCAAATTTACTTTAGACATTGTATACATACTTAGTACCAAATAGAATATTATGGAATTCTTCAATTATTTGTTCGGAAAATCTAAAGAATAAAAGAAAAAAAAAGAAAAGAAATTGTTTCTATTTCTAAGAAAAATATTTATTTATACTTTAAATCACGTAAATCATCTTTAAATATCTGAAATTAGAATAAAAGAATTTTTATTTTTGATTCTTTAATAATTAATATGTATATATATATATATTACATCTGATTTAAGAAATGCCGCAGGTGGTTTTAATGCTAAACGAAGAACATGAACAAAACCATTGAAAATAACTAATAAATTTTCAATAGAAATTGAATGATTTTTTGAAAATTTCATTAAAATTTCAAGAGATGATGATGATGATGATGATGCTTGTTCATTTAAAATTTGAGCTTCACTCACTACAATCATATAAAGAAATTTTCATAAATGAACAATTTGTTGGTTTTTGTTTTCTTTACTTGAAATAAGTTTTTGAATTGCTTGTAATGGTAATGAATTACATTCTTTAAGTTTTTGTACACATAATGATATTGTTTTTGGTGTAGTCCATCCATAGAATGGATCTTGATAAGAATGATGATCAGGCATTTAAATAAAAATTTGATTTAATAGAAAGATTCTTAACCAAAAAATAAAAGCAGAATAAATATGACAAGGTGAGACAAGAACGAAAGAAAAAAACAATATACAGATGGAGCTATTAGGTAAACTTTGAAACGAAATTCTTTTTTGTATAAATTCTTAAATCGTAAGCAACGATTAATATTCAAGTTTATGTATAATGTAATGATGCATGCTTTGTTTTTTGATTAGAAGGCAAGATACGCCTTGAGAAAAGCGATATTTCTTCATAGATTTATTTGTGCTTTTGAAATAAGACATTCTACAAAATGCACATATGATCATATCAAGTTTGTATTTTTTTTTGTAGAATTTTCTAGAGAATTAATTTATCTTCTTATTTTTGTAATCGAAATAAAACTTTATAAAATAAGTCAGTCGAAAAATATTCGATTGCTTTTAGAAAAACAAATAAAATTTTTGTTTGCACACGCTTTTTATTAAACAAATAGAGCTTGTTACCAAATATGTGTAGTAAATTTTGACAGCACATTTGACGTAGAAACATTTTATTAATACAAAGTCTCGTAGGTATTTGCTTAGAATTTAAAAACGGCGTTGGAAAAATAAAATAAATTTGTATGAGCAATAGACGCTATTTTCTTAATCGCACAACGCAGTCTATGAACTTCTTTTTGTAACTTCGTTTCAAATTAATATTAATAGAAGTTTATAGAGAATTAAATTCCGTATCTTGTGATAGGAAAGTTAAAATTACATATTATTTCTCATTAAGAATATTTGCAAACGAAAGAATGTTTTAAAAATTTTGCCGTACTCGATATATCGATATTAGAAAACAGATTAGATATGAAATCGAAAGATACAAATACTTTAATTTTTAGTTTTCCAACTGTTTGGACAAAAAACATATCCATGGAATTCGAATCGAACAAAAGCCGCTGGTAAATCGTTCCATATAATGGGCACTATGACGACAGTTCAGCATTTTATCCAGCGTGGGGCCGAAAGTGAGGGAGAACACACTTCTGCAAATCAGATTGACCCTCTTGAAGCATGAGATTGTCTCTCCGAAAGAGAAAATTCGGATAAAACTCTGCGACCGTTATATACCTGTCGAATTTTCTTTCCTTTATGTAAATTTAAAATTTATCATTGAGAAAAGCTCATTCGTTTCAGATTGAAGATTAGGATAAACAGAATCATTATGTAAGAATTTTCTGCGATATATATTTGCAATTTGAAATAGCCTAGTTTGAAACGAAATGCATTTAAACATATATATTATGTGAGAAGAAAAACAAACAGTAGAGATTACAATTTGTTTTTTTTTTTCTCTTTTATAATTCATTTAGATGTTGAAGAAGTTCATTAACAGAGATTAGTCCATTGAAAATTTGAAATTTTTCTTTCTTGATAATTTTCGAATAAATCTATCGTGAATAATTCTCTAACATATTCGATTAATCAAAAAAAAAACAATAATTATTGTTTGCTCAAGATTTCTATCACACCAACAATAGATTAAACGTAAATATAGTGGCGCCACTTATCAGTTTTCATCAATTTACATAAGAGAAAATTTTAAAAGACAACATAAAGAACTAAAAAATTAATTTTCTTTCGTTTTTTTTCTTAATAATACAATGTAATAACAATACTATGAAAATATTAATTTAACATTTGATCTTTCTTTGATTGACATTGATACCTTGACAACATCAATAATAATGATGATCATAACATGTGCAACATTGTTAAAAAGAAAAAAAAAAAAGAAAAGAAATTTTTTATTTTGTTCCTTTTAGCGATCTGTTCTTTGTTGTTTCAATTAATCTCTCACATTGATTATCCGGTAATTAATGATGGTGCTTTCTATATTTTGGTGCTTTTAAATTATTTTATTAATCTATAAAAAGAAACACAAAAGATAATGAACAGAAATGGCCTTGTATTTGTTCCACGTGAACCACCAAAACGTGTTATTCTTTATCCAACTCAGGATTCATCCAATCAACAACAACAACAACAACAACCAAATGGACTATATGCGAGAGCAAAGACAGCTCTTGTAACTAGTAATCATAATGGAACAACCGAACAATTCAATAATAATACTCACCTTTCACGGCAGCAACAGTTCTCTAGTCCAATGAATAACATATCAAAATCCACTGAAAAATCTGGTAAAATTCTCAGATTTTCATTTCATACTTTTTACATCTCAAATTTTTTTTAGATAATGATAGAACAGGAGTTAATGCTTCAGGGTAGGTTACATTTTATTTTTTAGTTTTACTAAAAACATCATTTATTTATTCCAATTTAGACAACCAATATCTTTAAATGTTGGTCAAAAACTTCAAGTTCCCTACAATGCAAATCCATTTTTTCGTCCTAAAATTATTCCAAATCAACAACCAACAACAGTAAATACAACTTTACTATCATCAACTCGTGATTCATCAGCAGTATCTACAAATTCTAATATTCAAACAATAATACCTTCATCAAAAACAATAATAGCAAATAGAGAAAAATCATCTATTTATTCTAAAACTCAAAATCCACTTATTTTATCTAATGAACGAACACAAGATTCTGAAACAACAATTAGTACATCTTCTATACAAGATGATAATCGTCGTTGGGCTCAATCTGTTCCATCAGCATCTATTGCACGACGTACTGTTAGCGATGAACGTCCGAATGGAACATTAAAACCAACAGATATTAATGTAAGTTATATGAATATATATATGCTCTATCTACATTTTTCTATTTTTAAAGATAATAAATCCGATAAATAATGATACTCTCAAACAGAAAGGTACTTCAGCTACAGATATTGTTATCTCTCTTATGGATACATGGGTAAAATATTTTATCTTTTTTGTTTTCATATTAAAAAAAACAATAAAAATTCTCTTATGATTTAAGCGTGCACCAATAAATTTTGGAAATACATCAGCTATTAATATATTTCCTCGTACTAATATTATAAAAGATGATTCAACAATACCTAGTCAAACATTATCTACAGGTGAAAAAATACCTAATACACCACCATTTTTAACTAGTGGTACTTCATCAACAGCAAGTAATAATAATCAAAATTGGAAAAAAGCTTTATTAGCTAATTTTCAAAAAAATTCTCGTAATATTCCAACAGCTAAATTATTTCATTCTAAACAAACAACAATACCATCACAACCATCAACAACAATAATTAATGATACAACAATAAATCAACAACAACAAAAATCTGAACGAACAATAAGTTATAATGGAATTAATAATGAACGTACATTTCAAGCTAGTGAAAATACACCAAATATACAATCAATTATAAGAAAATCAAGTGAAAATGTTCGAGTTACACAACAAGATGATAACAATAATAATAATATCGAACGTTCAACATCTTTACAGGTTTTTTATTTTTTTATTTAATCATTCTAAAATAATTTTCTTTTAAATAAATCTATATTATAGATTCAAGGATCTACGTATTCTAATCAAATAACAACAACAAATAAAACTGAAGATACAATCAAACCAATAGAAATATCAAACTCAGAAAATATTCCACATATGCCTATATCGATTCCAGCAGCATTAATTACAAATAAACCACCAGCTAATGTTGAACAACAAAGAGCAATTATTACAAGAGTAAAGAAATTTTATACAAATATCTTTATATCTATATATATATATATATATAATATTTTAGGTTATGATACGTCGAGATTTTGTTAAAACAACGGAAACAAAACCACCTATACCAACAGCAGCTAATATACGTTCATTTATTCCTTCAAGATCAGCTAAACCTGGTGGTCTTCCAACAAATAATATTATTCAAGTAGCAACTATAACAGAAAATAATACTATAATAAATTCTAATATAAATTCTAATCGTATGTATCCATTACAACAACAATCACAGCAGCAACAACAACAACAACAACAACAGCCGCAACGGCAACAATCACAACCACAACAACAACAACAACAACCACAACAACAGCAACAGCAACAACAACAATCAATACCTTTATCTCAAAAAAGTCTTTTATCATTTACATCAACTAATCCAACAATAAAAGAATCAATAAAAATTGAAAATAATCAACAACAATTAAATGTCATAACTAATGATGGAATAACTTCAATATCCATAATGAAAACGCAACAATCACAAATATCTATAAATACTGGTCCTGCTTTTCGATCAAGTAGTTTATCAGCTGCTAATGCTGAATTACGAAGAAAAAAAGAAGAAATTAATAATAAAATAAAAAAGAGAGCCGTTAGTGCATCGGCTGTATCAAATGACGGGTAAGACTAACAAAATAGTTAATTTTTATACTGCTGAAAGAATTTTATAAAGTGGAAAGACCTTTTCTTTCCTTATGTAAAATCGGAAATACACGTAAGAAGAAAAAGAAAAGTTGATTGTTCATATTGATTGAAACAAAAGTCATTTTATTGTAAAGAAAATTAAATAACATTGATCTATTTTATTAGTAGATTAAAATCAAAAGAATAACATTGATTATACAAAAAAAAGAAATGCTTTATAAAGATTGTATTAACTAATAAGCTGTGCTAAGCTAACACCTAATAAACAAAATTCAATAAGTGAGTTCATTTATTTCACTATTATACTATGGCTAATCAAAAGATTATCTCAGTTAATTATTTTATACTTAATCGTGTAGCTTTGATGACAGTTTTAGCAGAGTCATTGATAAGATAATCATACATGTAGAATGTTGGTTTCTTCCATATGCTAATGATATCGATACAACGATCAGATCTGTTACATTTTATGCAGAGTAGTTTAGTTTAGAGTAGACAAGTGTGGTTTTTTTTTTCTTTTTTTAATTTGATTAATATGATAAAAGAAATGAAGAAAATATTTTAAAAAGAATTTTTTTCATAGCATCTATACCGTAAACTCAATTTTTTGCGTCACTAAGTAATCATATAATTAATGAAGGTATCTTATCGACGATAAATATACAGCGTGGATCGTAAATAATTACGCAAAAAAAAATCCAGTGTCTCCAATTTACTTTAATCGATCGGACTGATTTTTTTTCTCGGTATTGGAAGACTCGTCAAAGTTCTTATTCACGTAGAAACGATTAAATAGATATTGTGAAGAACAAATACTATTGATCTCAATGAAAAAATATACTATTAGTCGAAAGTATTTTATCCTGCGATTCCAGCTACTCTTAAAAGTAGACATATGAAATTTTTAATCTATATACTGCTTCAGAAATGTAGGTCAATCCGACCCTATTCACTTTTAGTTGAAGAGGAGTTACGATCTATGTCAAGCCATCTCACTATGAATTCTATAATTCAAGAACGGAAAGAGCTTATGACTCGGCGAACCAATCATTACGTAGTTCTTTAATGCACCTATGTAGACTATGAATTTCATCTAAGCGTTCAGAAGCTATGAAACTATCGTACATTATAATTCCTCTTCAGCTCAAACAATAAAGATCGAGCTCGTCTCGTTAGCCTACATTTTTTAAGATAGCACATATACTAAAAATTTCAGAGATATAGTCTTAAGATCGACTGAAATCATAGGAAAATACTTTGTGCCAGTAATGTGCAAATATTTATTGAGGTCAATAATGCTAACTCAAAATAATATTCATTGACGGTTTTCTTATGAATCAAAACTATAACCGAAAAACAAATACGCCCGATTAATTAAAGTAGATTGAAGCTGTTGAGAGTTTTCATCGTTTAGTTATTAATGAGCTACTATGTATTTTCTTTGACTTCTAATACGATAAAGTTTACAAAAAAGAACACGGACGATATACGTCATTCCTCGTTTTACCTCTCGATGATTGCTGCAGGATTCATTCAATGGTTTCACATCTTTTTTTATATTCCAGGCCATTCGAAAATTTGTGAAACACATTTAATTTACTAGTCAATATTTTCGTTGATAATATACATCACACAACACATCTCTAAGAAGTATTTTGCCTGCAATTAGAAAAGACTTATAAGAAAAAATATTATTTCTTTTTTTAAACTTATTTGTTTTAAACGTCATTTTCTTTTAAAAACAAAACAATAAAACAAAATAAAATCTTTTTTTAGCAACCAACAATAGTTCACAAAGTTCTCTATAACCAACATAGAGTTAGTTGTAGATTATGCGGTTCGATTTTTTATTCAATGATGTTTTTGATAATGTTCACTAACGTGAACATTCAGGGATGCAGTGTTAATCAGTGTTATAGTTTTCAGGATAATTGCGTAAATCTAAATGCTTGCTGATTATCATTGATTTGTACATAGTTTATGTTTTGTGTATGATATTCAACTCCATATATCATGAATCAATTAATTTAAATAAAACAGAAGCAAATAGTCCTCTTTTTATGATAATTAAAAAGAAATACAAAATGTCACAGAAAAGTGTACGATCTAAAGATGTCCATGCATAAGGTTAATTAGAGTAGTTGTATGCATTTTAAATGTTTCTCAATTGAATATAGCGAAGAAATTTTAAATACTTATGCTACGTAGTTATAATTTGCCTTATTATTTTTTTGATGAATATGATTTATAAATAAATTGACCAATTCGAAAATATATTAAGAAATATCAACATTGCTTCTATAATTTCTCAATTTCCGTTTTTGTATTTTTCTTTTCAATATAAACAATTATTTAGAAGTTTTTTATTATTGTTATTATTTCTCAAGGAAAGATCATGCAATTGAAAAAAAGAACAGGATATCCGGTATATTGAAAAAACTTTATTTATGCATCAATCTTATGGAGGATGCAACAACAACAAAAAAAAATTTTGTTTCATAGATGTATATGTTTTCATTCGTTTGTTTTATTTTAAAACTTTAAAAAGTGAAACTAAATCGATCATGTAATTAAATAAAATCTCTTTTCGAAGTCTTTCTATCAAAATATTAATCCGGTTAACTATTATATTACTTATTTGACATAATGAAAATTCACTTAATTCATATTGAATATATGCCAATCTTTTAAATTCATTTTGTTTTTTGCCTCTCTACAGTCAACATTCGAAAAGTACTTCACTATGTCAAAAAAAAAGAAATCAATGGTATTTACACAACAACATTGCAATAAAATAAGAGACATTCTGTGGGCTATATACACAAATATATATATATAATTTACTTTTTGAATACATACATTACATTTCACTTGTCTGTTGATTGATTCGAGTGATTTAAAAAGGAAATGTATAAAAAACTCTTTCACATTAAAGCTCAATTCCATTTATCCATTAAAATAAGAGAAAAAAAAAGAGAGAAAATTTTGACTTTGCTCACCATCGTTGCATGCTACCGATCAACATTATTGGACAATGTAAAGAAAGAAAAAAACGTAGTAAAAGAGCTTCATACGTATGTATGAGCAATGAAGCAAAATAATTCTTTGCTTTTTCTCTCTGTCTCTCTTTCTCTGTCTGTCCGTCTGTCTTATTCCATTTCTACCGTTCGATATAAAGAAAACACAAATAATGGTCTGTTTTGATCGTCTCTTGTTTTTTACTTTGGCTGTTTTTTTCTAATGCCCTGAAATTGAAACCATTCTTTGATTTTTTCTTTTTCTCTATTTTCTGATGGTAACGAAGAGAAGGAGAGAACATAAAATGGAATTCATTATTTGGCAAAGAGAAAAAAAAA